ACTTTTTAAGGCTTTAGATTTCAAAAAATCCTCAACATTCACATAACTGCTGCTACATAATTCATTTTGATGAGTTCTAATATATTCTAACCTATCCCACTCGATTCTTGCGTCTTGGTCAACGACCCATTGTTGAAATAGTTTTTTCGCAAAAAAATGTGGCATGAACTTTTTGTCGTCTTTTACAAATAATAAAAACTTAACATAATCACAAAGAGAAACTTTTTTTCCAAGTGAATCTCTCAAATTAAATGAGTATCCAGAAGTCGATTTAGGGTAAAGCAAAGGGTAGCACATAGGCTCTACACATTTGTCTAAGGGATAAATATTTTTTAGATTTTTTTCACCTCTTGGATAAACGACAATATTTGAAGGTGGTATTTCGTCATTGGCATCAGATACTAAAATTGCACACACCTCATTACTCTGCGGGATATTATAGCGCGATTTGTCAAAATTTTCTTTTAAACTAAAAAGCAATCTAATCTCTGGGATTTTTATACCTTGATTTTTATATAAATTTTCATATTTTTCATATATATCTTTCATAAGCTGATAAGATTTGGCATATTTATTGTTTTCTCTAATATAAATTTCAATATAATTTATTATTTCTGGATCGCATTCTTTATTTTCTGCGCATCTTATATCAAAAGCTTCTTCAGAATCTATAAAATATAATTGTCCATTTGTAGGTATTTCATTCTTTTTAGATGGCATAGCGTTAGGATTAAATTTGTGATAAACTTGTCCTTGAATTTTATAGCAAGGTGGACCAGGAGTAGGAAATTTAAACTTAAAGCAACTTATGGAAGCGCAAGCGAAACCGTTATTATAACGCCGTATATTTTCAATAAAATTTTTATGAAAAGAGTGTTCTTGATTAAAAAGAACCTTCAACTCTTCTGGATATTCTTGTATATTTTCAGCAAGTTTTATGAGTTTTCCGGACTTACAACAACTAACAAACACAAATTCATTTTTTCTCGTTTGTTCAGACAATTCTTCAAGAAAATGTAGCGAATCACATTTTAAACATTTAAATTTAAATTCACTTAATTCAAAAAATTTACTACTACAAAAATCTGCTGCCGCCTTATGAGACAATTTTTCTTTTTGAATTTTTGATCTTTTTGCAATTTTTCGGTTTTTGTCTAATTCGTGTTCTTTTTCAATAAGTTCATCAGTAAAAAGTTCACGCTGTTTTGCTTTTCTTTTTCTTGATTCAAAACGTTTATAATCAAATTCAATTAAATTATAAGAATTATTATTATCCTCATCCAAACTTATTTTCTGAGCTTTAGACCGCTTTTTTATACCGGAGCTTCGAACCGGGTTCTCCGCTTTTTTTAATGGGAGCTTTGAACCCATGTTACTATTTTTGCCGGGAGCTTTCAAATCCTGCAGAGATGACGACGAACACGGGTTTTGTGAAGCAGAAATTTTTTGCTTTGAGCGAACCATTTTATAATATTTTTACTAAAAAAAGTTTAATAAAATAATAGAATTGCAAATTTTATACATATAGAACCGCAAAATTTGAATCTTTTTTTAAAAATAAATTTTTAACAAATATTTTTGTTTTGAAATAATCATGTTATTTTTTTTAGTTTACCTTTTAAACCTTTTTTGGCGATTACGAAACAAATCATCTTTCTCTTTATTTTTCAAATTTCTTAATTTGGTTTTCTTTCTTTTCTTCAAAAATTACACTAAATAGGTGATCTGACTGAAAAAGAAAACAAATTCCACTTCTTTTTTTTCGTCAATAAATTATTTGTTTTTAACTCAAATTACAGTAAAAAATTTGTTTCACTTGTTTTCTATCAAGTGGCTGCGTTTTAAAAAAAATTGGCTGCCTGCGTCTAAATGGCAGACGGCTGGCAGTTTTTGTTTACGTTTAACTTTTGCGCGAAATTTTAGTGAAAAATAACTTCTTTCTCTCTTATTTGCCATAAAGAAAAATTTTCGTGTCAAAATAAATTCTTCTTTTTTTTGCAAGTACTGTAAAAAAAGTGTGACGGACAAACCGATTTAGTGTAGTTAATATGGCTGTTATTTTGGGATTTCTAAATGTTGATTACCCTCAAACAAGGATGTTTTAATAGCCGTAATGATAAATCGCTTGATATCTTGAACCGCTAACTTCAAGGGATTCATTCTAAACTGGGATTCTAGTGAGGGATTCAATTCTAAATTTCTCCCTCTTTCATAATGGCATATTAAGCTATATTTATTTTGCAGTCTGTATTTTCTGGATTAATTCCCCTCCCTCAAATAATTCCCCCTACCGATTAATTCCCACTGCCAAAGATATGTTGAAACAATAATTCCCCTCCCGCAAATACCCTACTGCACGTTCAAATTTCAAAACTCGAATAATTCCCCTTCCTTGAATAATTCCCCCTGCCATGGATGGGCTGAAAAAATAATTCCCCAGGAGAATTAATCGAGCAAATACGGTATTCTAAATGAAATTTCCCACTTTAAATGGAATTAAGAATTTGTATTCCTAAGGCCGTCGAAGTTTCTTCACAGACTAACAAAGGAACAAAAAACGATCAGTCGGAAGTTGGATACTTGAAGTAGTTAGCAAAAAATTTATCTCTTAGCTCTCATAATCAAGCCCCTCAATTTTAAATATTTATTTCTGAGTAAAGTTTTTGGAATAACAAATCTTTTTAATTTAAAATATAAAAATTTATTTAAGTTGATCAGTTGGGTGATCACCCTGTAGAGAGGATTAAAGACGTGTTATCGACAGCTTTGGTAAGAAATAAAGAAAGTCGCTAACAGAGAGGCTAATCCCATATACATTAATAGAGAAAAAGCATATTGATTAAAGATATACATACATACATATATACATGTAGAAATAATTGATTTACTTGGCTATAATTTTAAAAAAAATTTAAAACAATGTTTGACACAACAAAAAATTGTTTTAATTTTTGTTCATGGATTATTTGATAACCCTCTGTTAAGAATAATACGGTTCGGGATTAATATTTAAATCCTGAAAGACAGTTAATATTATTGCAACATTTGCCTAGGTAAAGTAAGAAAAATTGGAAGTTTGATCGTTTTGAGACATTTGGGAAAGGAAGTATAGGAGTCGCAACAAGAATCTATAGGCGAATACTTTAATATTTTAAAGATTATCTATAATCTGGTTGGATTTGGGCAGTCTGGTTTGCTCCGCACAGAGCCTGAAAAAGGGCCAACGCCAATTTTTCAAATTTTTAAGATACGCCAAAAGCAAAACGCCAAACAAAAACATCAACAAACACAAGGCGCGCAGTCTGATTCCATTATGGGGTTTTAAAGCAAATTTTTCCGGTTAGACACGATTCAGTGTCCCCGTTTCCATGCGAATCAGTTCTGTCAGGCACGTTTTGTCACAGCATGTTTCTGTGGACACGGTTCCGTGCCAGTTATAGTAAAAGGCACGTTTGTGTGCCCAATTATTTAAATATATGTGAAAATACTACAAAAAACACATTTTTTAATCATATCCGGATTCAACACACTTAACTAAATAATGGCAAACCTCAAAAGGGTATAGCCCAAAACAACGCGCGGCCATAACACCGCAAAGTCATAACAGCTAAAAAATTGCTGGCCCTTATCAATTTTGGTACCAATCTCCCTAGCTCGTTAAGTGGAATCGAAAGATCTTTTATTTAGTAAAGCTGTTGAGTTTCTTCACAGACTAGCAAATAAAACAAAAAAACAATCAGTTGGATGTTGAATAGTTGATGTAGTTAGCAACAAATTTATCTCTTAGCTCTCAGGATCAAGCCCCACCATTTTAAATATTTATTTATGAGTAAAGTTTTTGGAAAACGAATCTTTTAATTAAAACATAAAAATTTATTTAAGGTGATCAGTTGGGTGATCACCCTATAGAGGGGATTAAAGACTTGTAATCAATAGCTTTATTAAGAAATATTGTCTTTAACAGAGAGGCTAATTCCATATACACTAATTAGAGAAAAGCATTATCGACTTAAATGTTTAAAAAATTAATTGATTAAACATATACACATGTACATATATGTATGTAGAATTAATTGATTTACCTGACTATAATTTAAAAAAAATTTAAAATAATGTTTGGCAAACAAAAAATTGTTTCTATTTTTGTTGTTTGATTTGCTATCCATCCGTTAAGAATAATCCTATTCAGGATTAATATTTAAATTTCAAAAAACGTTATTATTATTGGAACATTTGTCTAAATAAAGTAATGAAAATTAGTATTATGGTTCCGTGACTTTTGCGCCGCGTATAAAATCTTTCTCTAGCTTAAAGATATTTTATCCTTCCTAAAATCTTTAAAATCTCAGGGTATCCAATATATTACAAGAATATATTATTTATTTATTTCAATTACAAAATATATTTTAAAATCACAATTTTGGGCATGAGAGCGAACAATGGCTTTTACTGAATAATAATGGAAAACTCTGCCAGTTATTTTAATAACTGAGAAATAGATGGGTTTTTAGCCCATCGTGTTGGCATTTCTTGGAGTTCATGTGCGGATTTACGGAGGGCCTTGCTTAAGGTCCGTACACGTTGTTGTTGTTGTGTCCGCTGCTTGCCATTATAGCGGTACTACTGTGTAATTCCGCTAATGATGTACAGGATTTGATCAAATGTCCTTTCTGATTACATACAAAACAGCTGTTGTTAGGACGACGAGAACGAATCGGTCCTACAAAATTGCTTTGTTGTGGCTGATGCTGGAATGGTTCTGGTCTTTCAAAGGTACTATTATCACTTAATAATTCAAATGTTGGTTGTATATATTTAATTGGAAAAACGGATTGTGTTGTTATTGGAGCAGAGTTGTGTGAGGTTGTTGGTTGAAGATTTAAATTGGTAGTTGATGTTGACGCGGTTGTTGATGTTGGGGGTCGAGAAGGCATCCAATTCTCCAATATTGCTTCGAAGGCATAGAATGCTTGCAGGAAAACTGCCCGCAGGGAAAACACTCAGCTTAAAATCAACCCCCATACGTTGCCCTCACTGTCCTTGCGACCAGAGCCCCTGCCATTGCTACAGACTCTTGTCTATATAAAAAAATTTTGTTTCGTTAAAAATACAAAAAAACCTGATGATCATCGCTATCACATTGTAAACACTTGCCCCCGCTTGGATCCTTTTCGACAGGTTCCCCCATTCCGTAAGGTCTGATTGCTTCAGCAAGACTTAAATGTTTTTCATGTTCTGACGGGTCCGCGCTCAAGTCCATCGGTAGAAACTTGGTTCATTGCTAAATAAATTTTTTATAATTAAATAATTGATTATCCCGCGGCCTTACCCTTAAGAAAAAAACAATAATCAAACCTATATAAGCCTGTACTCTGGCTTGACCTTTTAGTATAAGATAGCTGAAAGCCTTGTGTGCTAATTGACAAGCTTCTAAGTCACCAGCCCCGCCTTATCTTGGTGGAATTTGACAAGACATCTTCTAGCCAATCTCTTCACTAAAATTTAGTTATTTTTACAATTATTGGTTTCAAACGTACATTCATCCCAAGAATTAAAGATCGGCGTCCATATCCAGCAACGTCTAAACAGGCCCCGCCTCAAACAAAGCCACAAAATCCATATGCCCAAAGCAACTTACAAAGTTTAAAAGAAAAGCCACAGTTTCTGCAAAAATTATTTGCGGGTGCATATACTTCCTTTCTATCCTAAAAATTATTAATATTAAAGTTTGTCCATAAAAATTTAACCTGAACACTCCTTTACCATTGGCATCCACACCAACCTGCACTTCCTGATAAATATAAGGAGTAGAATATTTGAATTCTTAACAATTTTTTAGATATCCTCCTTCTCAATAATGAATCCGCCGCTTGGTTTTATTTAAAAATTTCGAATTACTATTTAAAAATTCACAAATTGACAAAACAATAAAAAATAAAATTTTGATAATTTATTACTTTAATATTTTGCTAAAAAATTTAAAAAATAATTTTTCTTCATGCTCAAAATACATTTACGATATTGATTGGAAAAAAGAAAAGCAAAAGGAACTTAAAAAAAGAAACTAAAATAGATGACAATTAAAAAATTTATTTTCTTTTATTAAATAAGCTATTACATAGCCGATTGGGTTAGACCACCGTCCACTTAAAAACAAAAGCAAGTTCGATACACACACGTGCACGCGAATTTTTTTTAAAGAATTAGCCAAAACTTATTCCATTTGCAATCATTTTTGAGTTTTTTTACCAGTTTTGAGTTTTTGCGTTTTGTCCTATTGACTTTTTGAAATTGTACGTTTCTCATTTACCATTTCAAAAAGATCAGTTTAATGAGTTGATCTTTTGTCCCTACCACCGGACTTTTCTTACATTGTCTTAATTCTTGAAAATTTTTAAATCTTAGACAGCTCTATATTTAGATTAGCGGGTTATGTTAAATTCGTCTGCTTTTAAAAAATTTGGTATTCTTGGATTATCACTAGAGTTTCACCGGAAGTTCTGGTTCCAGTTCCAGCAAGTTCCAGTGATTTTTGATTCCGGTTTCAGGAACCGTGACCCAAATTGGATCGGTTCCGGTTCCGGTCAAAATTTTGGTTCCGGAGAAACACTAGTTATCACTCACATTTTTTATATCCCCATTTCCTTCTTTCTACAAAATAGTACTAAAAGGCAATTAAAGGGCCAATAAAATTTTATGGCTCGGTAAAAATTTTTACTTGAAACATAATCTCGTTAAATATCTACATAAAAATATTGTTTTAAAATATTCTTTATCTGCTCAATAAAAAATTAAATCAGGGATGGGATCGATTTCGAAAAAAGTTTGTTCATTTTTAGAAAATTGTATATTAAGAAGCAGAATTTCAAAATAGTAAATTTACAATGGGGTTGCAAAAATTGGGGGCATCCAAACTAAACTAAAATTTAAAAATCTACAAAAAAAGTTCAGAGTGAACGGTCTCAAACTACCGTATATTCTCTATTAGAATGCCATGGCATTCTATTTTTCAATCACCTTCCAAGGTGGCATTCTATTAGAGGGTGGCGTTCAGATAGAGGGTGGCATTCTAATAGAGGAAATACGGTACATTGTTTTTACTACAATCGACAAATCGTTTTCTTCTCTCTTCAAATTAATTTTTAAAAAATAATTTTCTCTTCATTGTTTCTTCACTATAAATATCCAAAATTTCCTTCAAAATTTTATACATTTTTTAAAGACTTGACTAACGCCAGTCGATTTGATCGTCTTCAAAAATTTTTTAATTACTTTAGAATGTTCTTCCAATTCATTAGAGTAAAATTCTAATGGGTTATCAGTAGAAATTGTAGGAAAAGTTTCCTCATTTTCATCATTAATAGCTTTCTCGACAGTTTTGAGAAACTTTTCAATTTGCGTATAGGGTGAAGAATGGATTGCTTTGGCAATATTCTGTGCCTTTTTGGAATATTTCTTCAAATTCCTGAAAAAATATGAGGATTTTAGAGACCAATAAGGACACAAATAATGACATTGAGTCAAATATAGAGCTTTAGACAGCTCTAATCTTAACGAGATTTAATAAATAGGGATGGGATTTATATGGATTTCCATATTTTTTTCTTGGCCTTCTGGGTTCTGAAACGTCCAAAAAACATAGTTTTAGCATATATTTTGCACCAAAATTAACTTATTTAACATTTTCTGCTTAAAATGAAAATTTTTCTGTTAAAAATTGAAAATTTTTCTGTTAAAATCAGTTTTCGGCCCATATTTGATCCATATTTTGGATTTTAGTCCATATTTCAGTCCATATTTTGAGATTTTTAGTCCATATTATATGTCCATATTTTTCGATTGATTTTCCATATAAATCCCATCCCTAGTAATAAATTATGGCGGGAACTTGATCGAGAATTTGACCGAATTAACAGATATCTTGTTAAAAAATCAACGGAATAAATAAAGTATTAAACTAAAAAATAAACTTGCTTCCTCATTTCTTTAAATTTCCCTGAAAAATCCCTAAAAAAATCCTCATAATTCATTGTAATCCCAATTTGCATATATTTAGTGAGTGTAGCGTTAAAATATTGTTCTCCAAAAGATGGAATTACTAATAATGGAACTCCTGCATATAAAGCCTGTTAAATTAATAAGATTTTCAGACAATTGTATAGAGTTTGGGAATTTAGTAGTCTGACAATGCCTACCCCAATACAGGATATTTATTTTATTTTCGGCTACAAATAACTTCAAATCCTCAATAAAGGGCTCATCCGCTTAAGACGAATATTTTAACCTAACATGATATTAATTCTATCATATTAATTCTGTAAAAATGATAGCTTATTTGAACTGCAATTTTTAGAGCAACAAATAAAATAGCTTATTTGAATACAAAATTGCGCAAATTAAAAATTAGTTCTATACTTAGTGATGTTCGGGTTAAGAAAAAACCAGGGAAACAGGAGTCGGATCGGGATACCCGAACATCGATACTATACCTCATTGAAGCTCTTTTGACCACCATCAGTAATATAACAAACTACATTTGTATATGCTGAAATTTAAAATATGTATATAATTTTAATTATATAGTATAAGCAACTACAAGGTTGCCGTTCCAAACCCCTAAAATGGGACAAGATTTGGGCGATCAAAAATGGGACAAGAATAGGGCGAAATCATAAGAATAGGGCACAGAGTGTCGAATGAGTTTACTTAATTTTAATAAAATTACAAAGAATTTCCTGTTTGTCTAAAATTCCATTATGTAATAAAATATTTCCTTTGTTATTCAAATAAATTTTTTTGTTTTCATATTTCTTTTTAAACCGGCAATCAGCACAATTAAAATTGTTAATTTCAAAAGTTCCATTTTCAACAATATATTTACATTCATTATATTTTTCAAATGTGTCAGTTAAAACTTTCATATGTTCTCTCGAGAAACCTTCATAACCTACAGCAGTTCCCATATTGAAAATGACTAGACATTTTGCCTAAAATAAATTTTTAAGTAAATTCCTTAATGTCTTTACTAGAGTGGTAGAACTCTCAAATGACAAAACCGTAAAAGTCTGGACCGCAAGTGTCTGTGCCTCAGTTAGATAGCCGCAAATGTCCTCAAGTTGATATTTCATAGCCGCAAGTATAGGGACCGCAAGTGTCAAAATAGAGGCGAGCCGCAAGTGTCGGGGCCGCACATAGGTACTTATTTCCTGTGCCGCAACAGTCGGCTAATACATTATGAAAGGTGAACTCCATTTTAGAACTGGGGCAAAAGCTCTGCTGTAAATGAATACCTCTTTAATCCAAGTATCAATAAATTTGTTTATTTCCTTATCATCGACTTCATCATTTAATGTGTCAATTTGTTTATTTTTGCCATTTAACGAATTTTTAATTTTATTTTTTAAATAAACAGATTTTCCTTTAATTTTTTTAAAATTAGTTTTTTGTTTAATTTTCCCTTCAATTTCAACGCCAATCCCTCCAATATACACAATTTTTTCTGAATAAACTTGATCATCTTCCTCATTATCTTTAACGAAATATTGCCCTAATTGATGAACATTAATTAAATAATATTTTGATTTTCTTAATAAATCTTCAATTTTTGGCATTTCTTGAACTCTTAAATTGAATAATTAAATTAAATATTAAGTTGCGTTACTAGAGCTTTGATCGTCCTTAACTTTTTAGCCCCCAAAGGAACCTTTTATTATTAAAAAGCTTTTCATAATATGAATGACTTTCGGATGATATATCGCGTGTATTATAACAAAAACTAAGAAGTTATACTCGATCACAACTGGCTGGCGCTCGTTGGCCACGTTCAGTTAACCATTTCCGTGATTCATTAAAGCCGACTCATAGTAAAGCAGCTGGGCTATAGCTATTTCTCTCCTTTAGCTAGTGCAAAAGGTTATTCGGCGGCTGGGAGCGAACCAGCATCTTCAGTAGACCGTAATGATGTGTTAGCCATTACATCACGCCGCCTACTGCTCAGCCTTAGGAAATTAACAGCTATATGCTTTACATCATTTTGGGAGCTTAATAACTTTTCTTTATATTTTTTTGACTTCAGGAAACAACCAGATCAGGGAGAACAACCAGATCAGACGGCCTACTCGATTAGACGATTCCTAGAAAATTTATAGTCAGATAAATGTAAAAATCTCGATAAATAAGCTCGGCATTACTTTTAAATCGCTCATTACCTTAAATTATAGTCCTTTTTTAATTTTGAATATTCACTTAATAAATTTGAAGGTTGATAAAACTCTTTAAATTTATTTATCGAAAATTCGTATTCATTTTCATTTCTTGTTAAATTAAAAGCATTATTGTTATACATACACTCTCTAGCTAAGAAAATATCTAAAAATTTTGTTTGAAATTTATTTTTTAAAAATAAAATTTCCATTAAAAAATTAACCTAATTTAATAATTTTTTCATTATTTACTCGTAAAGGTTGTAATTAATATTTCTCAAATAAATTTATTTTAAATCTTAATTAAAACTAGGACCAATTTCGCTGAAAATAACGTTGATATTGTAAGGATGATTAAGCAGCATTTAAAACGCTTAGACGGGGGTTAAACGATCTAAAAAGGAAAAAGAGAAAGCATTAGTCGATGCCCCGGTAGCTCAGAGGTAGAGCTCCTGAATATAGTGAGCGAAAGCGCCTAGCAACGTGGTCGCAGATTCGAATCCAGCCGGTTCTAAACTTTTGCAAACTCTTTCTATATTTTTATTAGGTATATCTTATAATTTGAAGAAAAACTTGCTCGGCATTTTAGAATAAAATTTTTGACCAAGAAAGTGTAAATAAACAGGGTAAGGAGCAGAAGAATTCGTAGCAATATATTTTTCTAAACCAATTTCATTGAAGAGAAAAAATGCTCCCGACATGATTGAAAATTCTGAAATTCCCAAAGCAAATTGCTTTACGTTCTCTTTAAGCCAATCAAAAATCCCTAATTGTTTGCCTTCAATAATAACCGGATTGTTCTTGATTATGGCTAAAATTTTGAATATTATAATTAGCAAAAAATTTCCATAGACGGATAATTTCAGGATTTTTTAAGTGCAATATGCCATAATTCAGAAAATATAACATATGAAAACATTCATTCTCCCCACATTGATTCTCTCTAGACTAGGAATCAAACCCACACTTAAAATATGTATTGAAAAATTGAGTGTAGCCTTTAATTCGACTTTCCCATTTAACCATCGCTCCTAGAAAGCAATGCTTATAAGCTCGTACCAAAATTTGTACTCGTACTCTGACGAGCAACCGTCCCTGATACGGCAGCGAGGCGAAACCCTTACGTTTGTAGGCTATCGAAATCCAGAAAATCTCAGAAAAATATTCATAATTCTTTTTTAATTTACCTTTAAACAAAGAGAATGTATAAAAATCAGCTAGTTTAGATAACTCATCATACATATTATCTCTAAATATCTGATTATCTAAATACTTTTTTTCCCAATCCGTTTTTATCGTTGGAGCATTTTCTTCCTCAGAAATTATTTCAACAAAATGAACTCCATCCTTAGGTTTATCCAATACTTTCTTCACACCATTTATTTTATACTTGACAGCAATAAAATACTGAAAAATTGGATTTTATTTAATTTAAAATTCATCAATAAATTTAAAACAAACAATTTCATATACGCCCTGAGAGTTGAGAATATTGGCCAAATTTAACTAAAATAATTATTTAAAATATAAAGTTAAGCTTCTTTTTAGATAGAGAAGTGGGACCGCAAAATAGTCGCTTATATAAAGGGTCATATAAATCGAAGGGATCCCTTAAATCAGCCAATAACCGACCAACTTTAAAATACGTTTAAATTGGGGAGCATTTAATTTTGGGGTATCCTATGTACTTTTATGTGGCTTTTAACAATTAAACAAAAGGCTGTTCGATGTTTTTGGATGAATTTGTTTGGATGTATTATTTTGTTGGATGTTTTGTTTGTTGGATGTTTTTGTTATATAAATAACAAATAAAAGCTTTAAATATTTTTATTTTGCAATAGATTTATTTTTTATGTAAACACTATTGCGAAATCAAGAGTGCAATAATTCGGCGATTTTCCTTTGAATTTTAATAATTTCACGTGATTAACACGTGTATAAATAAAAGTCTATTTGCCCTTTACGACTACTCATAGTGGAGAGAGGGCGAGAGGGCGGGATCCAGAGAGAGGGCTGTAGAGAGAGAGGGTTGTAGTCTCTCTCGAGCCCTCTCTCTCAGCTCCAGAGAGAGAGAGCTCCCCAATTTAAAATGGAGTTTACTGTTGGTCGGCTATCCCTTCGATTTATACTACCCCGTTCCCTTTTGGTTTTGAATGTTATTGTTCACAAGAAAATTTTTAAACGAACAATTTTAAAATAGAAATTTTACCGCAAAGGTGTAATGATCCAAAAAAGCATCGGCCAAAAGCAAAATTTTCTTCTTGCTTCCAGGCTCATTTCCCACTTGAAGATTGTTGCTAGATCCAACAACACTTGTAGAACAGCTTTGTTCAGGCAATTCCTTCATAGAATCAACACCACATTTCAAAAGAATGTCAGACAAAAATATTACAAGTATCCAAATACCCGTAGACATTTTTATCTAAATTATTTTTTAAATCATCTCTCTGGAAGGGGTAATTATTTCTGAGGGTATAATTATTTGAGAGATTATGTGAAAGCCATCCGTAGCATTGGGAATTATTGAAGGGAGGGGAATTAATCGAGTTTAGAAATTTGAACGTGTAGTAGGGTATTTGGGGGGATTATTGTTTCAGCTCATCCGTGGCATGGGGAATTATTCGAAAGAGGGGAATAAATCGAGTAAATACGGTAATTAAATCCTTGCTAATTAACAAATTTGTTAATTGTTTTTCTGATTTAATTTTTGTTGAGGCCCTTTTCTCAATAAATTTTACTGCTTGTCAAGTTAGATTTTTAAAAATAAAAAATAATAAATGGGAATGACTGATTGCTTAAGAGTAAGAGGGGAGAGGGGAGGGGAGGAATTGCGCGCCTCCCCAAGACTTAGAGGGCAATGACGCCCACTAATGCCATTTAAAAAAGGCCGATGGAATTGGCAAGAGTTCAAAGATTAAAATTAAGTAAGGAGTTAATAAAAGTTTAGAAGCCGGGCAGGGATTGAACTTGAGACAACACTGAGAATGCTCGTTGAGTATCGCTTAAATGTTTTGAGTTGCTCTACTACTCAGATACCATGGGTACAACTTTTATGTTTTTTTCTCATAGACGTTTTAAAAGCTCATGCTAACAATTAGTTTTTTCAATATTTTTGTAAAGCATATAGCTATTAATTTCCTAAGGCTGAGCAGTAGGCGGCGTGGTGTAATGGCTAACACATCAGTCCGGTCTACTGAAGATGCTGGTTCGCTCCCAGCCGCCGAATAACCTTTTGCACTAGCCGAAGGAGAGAAATAGCTATAGCCCAGCTGCTTTACTTTTTAATTCTGGGAGCTTAAGCTTGTTAAATGTAAAATTAATTTTAATTAAAAAAATTATACATGAAAGCAGAGAAAACGATAAAAAATTTTTTTGTCGATTTTTTTGCCTGTCACTCAAGAATATTAAAGTGCTATAATTGATTAAATAAATATCCAACTCGATAAATGTTTTAAAATTTAAATTAAAATTTTTTAAAATGTTTTTTGGGGGTAAAACACAAAAACATTTACTATGCCTTTAAAAATATTCTTTATTTATGAAGATATATTTTAAGATCTGATTTTTAGAACATAAAATATTTCAGGACCTTGCCGACATAAAAAATAAATTCCCGAATTCGGGAATCAGAAATTCTCGTTATAATTTGGAACCGAATGTTAGTTGTATTTTAATCCAATTGTATTTTAAATTACTAAAATAACTATTATGTCTGTTTGTATTTTTGAAACATTTAGATTGCAGTTGCAGGAATCTTCTAATTAAAACAGCTGGGAACTGAAACAATCATAAACGTCTGATTTTTAGAATATAAAATGTTTCAGGGTTTCACCGACATAAAAAATAAATTCCCGATTTCGGGAATCGGAAATTCCTTTCAAAATCCATGATAATCTTTTAGATTCTCTGATATTTATTCCAAAGGTCATCATTATCTACTGATCCCCGATGTCACTGCCTAATCCCTCAATTTTAACTTTAATCTCTCCAAAGACACGAGAAATAATTTTTTAAAAAGTACATTAAAAAAATAAAATTTTCTTCCTTCATTTTAAAAAGTTAATAAAAATATAAAAAAACCATAAAGATAAAGTTTACATATCAAAAATATGGCTTTCAGTCCAATTTTGAGTTATAAATATGTCTGGGTTTTTAACAAAAGAACATGAAACATTTAAAAGACTTTTGGGGTAATAAATAAAATTTTAATATTAAAAAGTTTTTAACAAAAGGAATGTACTATTTGAGGATGTAAAATTTTTGATGTTTTAAATTTTAAGTGAAATTTGTATATTAATAAAAATCTGTCAAATTGTCTATCTTTATATCCTATTCCTTATCCTTTTTAGCAACACCAACTTCAACGAGTTACGCCACAAAACGAACATTTATCTCACGTTAAAAAATATTTATAAAATACCAAAGTGAGCACTAGAAATGGAAGTAGGGTAAACAGAAATTTAGGTGTCCAAATTATCTGTGTCTAATTGTTTTCTGAATGCATTCAAATTTTAGGAAAGGTACTTTCTTTCAGATAGAGCCGCAAAATCTTTTACTTTTCGGGAATGTCTAAGTCGGCGAGTTACGTGTAGTAGTGAGGAAGTCGTTTTTCTACAGTTATTCGGAGCCGGAAATGAATTTGAACGCAAAATTTTTATAAAAACAATGAGATCGTATTTCCCATTTTTATCTTTTTAATAATTATAATTTTATAATTATAGTGCATCAAATTTTTTAAAAATAATTTTTTAATTTTTTAAAAAATAAATTTTAAAAAGTACAACAATAAAAATATAATTTTCTTCCTTCATTTTAAAGAATTAATAAAAATTAAAAAAAAACCATAAAGTTAAAGTTTAACCATCAAAAATAAATAATGGCTTTTAATTTCAATTTTGAGTTATAAATATGTCTGGGTTTTTAACAAAAGAACATGAAACATTTAAAAGATTTTCTAGGTAATAAATAAAATTTTAATATTAAAAAAAGTTTTTTAACAAAAGGAATGCACTATTTGAGGATGTAAAATTTTGGGGGTTTTAAATTTTATTTGAAATTTGATAATAAAATTTTGGCTAAAAGTCTGCTTATTTAAACTCGTTAAGAAACGGCATTGAGAAACTCATTGATAAAAACTTTTCTTCAATTTCACACCATGTCAAATCAGCTACAGATGTTAAGCTATAATTTTTGTTCATTTAACTGACAACCAAACCCTTCATGTTCAAATTTTTGTTTCCCGATAGGTGTCAATATACGTGTGTCCGACTGTCATATTTTACATTATTTAAAACAAACTAGAGTTACCAATTGGCACGAAAAGTTCCAAAAAATAAGTCAGGCATTAAATATGTTAAGCATTGCCTATTTGACTCGATTGTGATTTGAACGGTCAGGACTGAAAAAATACCACGAACATAGGTTCATTCAATAGGTACTTTCCAATATGGTAATTGGGGTAAAATATGACTTTAAGCCCTTAATGTCATTTTTATTAATTTAAAAATAAAAATAAATGATCTAAAAATATTAAGGGTTAAGTAACAAAAATGACCCTTATTGGATTAATTATCGCTTTCTGTATTATTCCGTCAGCTGTCAACGCTGATTGTCTCTCAGGGAACTGGACAACGCGTGTTGATACAGATGGAAATACGTATGGCTATCAAGTACTTGCGAAAGACTGGCTTAATTTTTATGAGGTAAAAAATAATTTAGTCCTAGAAAAGGTGGAGAAAATGTTTATTAGGAAATTTGTAGCCTTATTTTAAACTTCGAAAGCAGTAAAATTATTTTAAGAGTTCAGGAAAAATTTTAATCAATCCTAGGAATCCGAATAGTAAAGCAGCTTTTTATTAAATAATTTAACTCTATGTTAAATTTGAAGGCCCGTGCTCTATGTCTCGGAGTTGGAGGAGATGTGGCATCTATTCACAGTGGTACTGAAAACGAGTTTGTCCGAAAATTGGCAGCACCATATATTATCGGGTGCCAAACAAATAAAACAACATGTGGTGCTAGAGCTACTACAAGCCTTGATACTGTTTTAAGTGTAGTTTGGTTAGGAATGCACCGGTGTCAATATTTTCCAAGTTACAATGCTACTGTTGATTGTGTCAATTCGGATAGAACGCCATGCGATTATGGAGCTACAAATGCTGTAATTCTTACTGGTCCTTCTCCTTTTCCATGGGCCTGGGGAAATCCTTCAGGATCTGACAGCGGAGGGGGAGGTAAATTTTTATTTAAAAATAAGACCTAGGTGCCAACCAGTGCTGTTATTGAGTATTTTGTAGGGCTCGGCCATTAGGTTAAAGCTTCAGCTGGAGCCAGTCCCGTTGCTAGCTCCCGATCCTATAACCAATAATAGTACGACTAATATATTTGAATTCTTAACGATGATTATATTTTTAACTTTAAAGCTGGTCTCATTGAGGACTGCGTTTCAATGTATAATGCCACAACAGGAGAATGGAACGATTTATCATGCTTCCAAAAATTGGGTGGAGTCGTATGTAAAAGAAATTGTACAGGAACATGTGGAAGTTCATCTATCAAGAATGCTTTAATTACTAGCCCTTCTGACATAACAGACAGTAAGTTTTCACAATTTAATAGATCTAACTCGAAATAAATTGTTCATTGTTAAAGCAAGTTGTACATCTGGCAATTGGACTAAAAGAACAGGAGAGGATGGAAACACTTATGGGTATCAAGTTGTAATGAAAGATTGGCTTAATTTTTATGAGGTTGAAAAATACTCGCGCTCTCATGATAAAAATTTTTTATTCTAAAGGCAAATGCACAATGTCTTGCGCTCGGAGCTGAAGTCGTATCTGTTCATAGCTCGGCTGAAAACGAATTTATTCGTCAATTAGCCGGCCCGTATATAACTGCGTGTCAAACAAACACAACTGTTTGTGCCCAGAGAACTACTACTACTCTTGACACTCAGATGCGTTCACTCTGGTTAGGCCTGCACCGTTGTGCATTTTATCCTACTTACAATGCTACGGTTGATTGCATTAATTCGGATGGAACACCTTGTAATTATCTTAACATCACTGGAGGTCCATCAGGAACAGAAACGGGAACAGCATGTAAGTAAACAATACACCTTAAAATTTAATAAAATAAATCTAAGAGTTTGATGCTATTTAGACCCCCAAAATACAAGAATAAACATTCAAGTGATTTCTGGGTAAGGAACGAATATTTCCGGGGGAGGAACCAATTGTGAGGAGTAATCTTTATTCAAATTATTTATTAATAAAAATGTCTTCGTTTTAAAGCTGGTCAGCAAGAAGCTTGTGCTGCCATGTACAGCGCAACAACAGGACAGTGGAATGACATAGCATGCTTTAACAAATTGGGCGGTGTAATTTGTAAGAAGAACTGTTCGAACGCATGTGGAGTTGCATCAACAACTACCACACAATTGACTACAACTACCACGCAGCCAACTACAACAACAACCTTACCAACTACTACAACAACCGAACCAACTACCACAACAACTCTGCCTACAACCACAACAACCGAGCCTTCTACTACAACTACCGCTGAGCCAACTACAACTACAACCCAACCAACTACAACCACAACCGAGCCTTCCACTACAACCACTACCCAGCCAACTACAACCACAACTGAACCCTCTACCACGACGACCTTTAATTGCGCTCAACCACCAGTCACAGCATTGCTGAGTTACAACACTTCTGATCCCTTAATACAAACAGGTTCCAGCGCAATTGAAGGAGTGTGCCTATGTCAAGCTGATCCTGGCAACAGTAATGTCTTTTTCATCCCTGTTACAACCATTACAACTGGTTCAAGTGCAAGTAATTCTTCAGTCATTATGAAATGTTCAAAAATGCAAGACTTCTGTATTTGCGACGAAGATGATATTTGTTGGAAAGTAATAAATGCTTATTCTCTAGTTGTGATTAATTCTTTCTGCGATCCAACATGTCATATGTATGCACGATTACAAAACGCTGCCCCGTTTACTCAAACCTTCGAAAGTGAATGTGGAAGAACAATTACGCTTGCCGATGAATTGACTCCAATTCCCAATACTAATAGAAATATGTTCAAACCATTGGGAAGCTCAGCAGATTATTACATCAAGGTCAGTTTGATATGTTATACATAGAATTTATTGAATATTTTTTAGGCTGCGAGTATTCGATGTCTTCAAGCAGGCGAGACTTGCACCCCAATCAAATGTTCGGGAACTAGAAAGCCGTCTCTTTGTCCAACAACCACAACGACCTTGCCAACAACCACAACGACCTTGCCAACAACTACTACTACCCTACCAACAACCACAACAACCTTGCCAACAACCACAACAACCTTACCGACTACCACAACAACCTTACCAACAACCACAACAACCTTACCGACTACCACAACAACCTTACCAACTACCACTACTACCCTTCCAACAACCACAACAACCTTACCAACTACCACTACTACCCTTCCAACAACCACTACAACCTTACCAACAACTACTACTACCCTACCTACAACAACACTTGCACCGTTAAGTTAGTAGCCTTTTCTTATAAAAAGGGTGATATAAAAATTTATTGCGCACATTATTTATGCCATAACTTTATTCAAATAAATATAATGAGATAAAATAAAAAAATATATCTGGGTACCAATAGAGATCGGTCTGGATCTGGATTCAGTCTGGATTTTTCTTGGATCCAGATCAAGAATTATATCCAAGTTATTAACTTAAATCCAGAATCTACATTCAGGATTTTTGTAAATACTAATCTCTAGTTACCATATAATATAATTTTGAAATTGAATATGTTATTGAACACTTATTCAAACAGATTGCGGTAATTGTGCAGCGGGTCAATCAAGAGTGATATATGATAAGAATACTTTAACAAGTAATCAAATAGTCAAAAATAATGCTGCAAGTCAGTGTATCTTCAACTGCAAGGATCCAGACGTTTCACAGGTAAATTTTACTTTGATCACTATAAGTGGTTAAATGTGTATAATAAGGATGGCGGTTTCTGGGAAATTTCCGGATATCAGGAGTTTTTTCGGTATCGGATACCCGAAACCGCCAATCTTAGTGTATAAATCTATTATACTTGACAAAAATTAAAATTTATTTAAGATTTGCTACAGTACTGATGCCGTAAACGTCGCTAGAATTAACTGTACTGATCCTTCACAATTCTGTGTTTGCGCTTCTAATGTTCAAAAAGGTTGCTATACAGTTACCAACACTGCACTTTTGGCAGATTATTCAATTTATGCTAACGGTTTTTTGGGCGAAAAATAAAATTATTAAATGAAATATAATTTTAAGCTAGTTATACATTTTTGGTTATCAACTCTGGATCAAGCAATATAGCAAATAGTATGACTGGTGCCTCTTATAAATTTACTGCAGGCCCATCGTTTGTAGTTGGCAACAGCAAAACTTTGAATGCCCCTGTCCTTGGAAGTGAGTTTAATTTATTTTAGGAGAGAGAAGAAAATTTTTTATTTTTTCATATTTTGGAGATACTCATTCACAGGATAAGATTGCGGGAACGGGAAATAACCCCTCTTGATTTTCTCTTGAAGGGATTAAAGCCTAATCAGTATTTTTAAACTTATTTTTCTCAATTTAGTTTCGTGTAATGGTTGCGACCCAATACACAATCCGGGAGCTGATGTAATAAAGCCTTGCATTCCAGGAGGCGGTTAACTTAATTCTGTATGCAAAGTTTAAATTCAATTAATTACTAATCAAATTATGTATCGACTTTTAGAAAAAATAACGCTAGTTAATATTTGCTTATATTAATAGTTCGCTTCTAATTATTTAAACAATTTTGTACGCTAATTCTTAGAATAAATAATGCTTTAATTTGATAAAATATTTAAGAGAGTAAAATTTATACAAATTTAGAAATGAAAAATGCTAAAAATAATATAGCTGATTCATTAATGCAGGCTGTGTAGGGAAACTTAGATGTGAGTACAAAAAGTTTGATTCATAAGTACATAGGTGGAAAATTTTCAAATTACAAGTACGCTACAAAAATTTTTCGAAATTATTTTCTGGTGCTTTCGGCGCCAAAAAATTCAACTCATTTGCGAAAAAGGCGCAAATTTTGAGAATTTTTAAGTTAAATTCTATTTTTTAACCAAAAAGTCCTATGTACTTCCGTACCTACAAATATAAGTTCATTTTCAATTTTGTAAGTACGAAGGTCTGTTTGTAATACAGAAATAAGTACAAATCGCAGCACTGCATTAATACATACTAACAAAAAAAAATTGTGAATGTTTAGTCCAAAAAGGACATTTTTTAAATCAATTGTCTCGCATTCTTGAATTTTTTCTCAAATCAAAATCATTTCATTTAAATCGTTATCCTTCTTTTTAATTTTTTCCCTTTTTCAACAATTTTTTCCTTAAAATAAAGATATTTTATAACTCAAAATAATCTTATTTCTCGATTATAAATAATACTTCACCATTGTTTTCAATTAGAGTATGATTGGGCCCCGAGTTCTCCCAATACTTTTACGGTTTTTTGAAGGATGGTGTGATCCTCTCTAGGGTTGTCGGTTTCACCAGATTCGTCGGTTAACCGAAACCGAACCGATAAACCGAACCGAAATTTTCGGTTAACCGAACCGAACCGAAAATCTTCGGTTTTTCGGTTCGGTTCGGTTTGAAACCGACAACCCTAATCCTCTCTCATTAGTTAACCAAGATAACCTTTATTTGGGGACTTAAAATCAACTGTTTTATGGGTTGTACCAACTTTGGTCATTGGAAATTAGATCACAAAGTATTTTCACGACCCATCATTAATTCGTACATTTAGTCTTAGCTACCGCAACTCTTAATTTTGTTCTGATCAACCGATCGTAAATAAAAACTAATACTTCTATTCAATTTTATTCAAAAAATGTACCTCATCTTTTTTCTTTGCTTTCTCTCGAAAATGTGATCCTCTCTCATTTTTCTTTTTAATCGCCTCAATTATCTCAATTACTTTTTCAATAAATTCGGGAGGGAATTCAATAGGATTTATTAATTTTTCCTTTGAATATTCATACAATTCCAAAATTATCTTGCTATTTTCATTGAAGAATGTTATTGCAGTTCCTTTATTTAATAAATACATATTACTAGAGAATGGAAGGAGACGAGAAATTGGAAACTCGATTATCAATATTAGAAATTTTAAGAGATACTGATCACCCCACCCCATTCCGGTCTCTATATATTAGAAAATTGCTTAAATAAACTCGGGAGGAATTAAAAATTTTGCCTAAGTATCCAAGACACAGTTTTCATATGGCATAACCATTGACGTCACGATTTCTAATTACCCAAAATCTTTCAGACGTTCCGATATTTCCTAATCGGGAATCAAAATTTTTTGGGAATTATCGACTCCCGAAATTAATCTCGGCAAGTTTAGGTCCCAAAATCTATAGACCATATTCTGAATTCAGTTGGCCCATAAATATCATTTCTTTTTACCTTTTTTCCCCATTCTTGCTGTACGTCCAACACGATGGATATAAGTTGTCAATTCTTTAAAAAATAATTTTTATAATTTTTACATTTCAAAAACAAACTTTCTGGAGAGTCGTAATTTATCACATGCGTTATATCCTTAATATCGGTCCCCCTCGACAATACATCTGAGGCAATCAGAATTTTAATCGCTTTTCCTGCTACAAATTTTCTAAGGTTTTTTAAACGCTCAACAGCTGATAGATTTCCATGTACTAATAAAACTTTGAAATTCTCATTACCAAGAAATTCTGCAATCTAAAAATAATTTTTTATTTTAGTTGGATTGTTAAAGGGAGGGATTCTGTCTTCTTGGAGCTGAGAATGTCTAAAAAATTTTTTTGCAGTTTTATGCTTTTGCTTTAAAGAATCATAAAGAAGTTTAATTTGAGCTCATTCCTTGGGATGAAACAGCTTGAGATAAAGAGGAACTAGACCAAGCATTTAAGAAAATACATAATGGTAGTATGAAATTTCACGGTCTTTAGAGGTGTATTTTTCAAAACCCCAAAAAAGTCGAGACCAAGACTTTACCCCAAGTTAAGACCGGAAAAACCCAAGAAAAGTCTTAAGTCAAGACTCAAGACCGGAGTTTCGGCCAGCTGCACCTTTTACTTTCAATTGAGAGATACTCATAATTTATCTCGTTTTGACTGCTTTTTAGTATAATTTTGAAACGAATAATTTTTAATTGGGTTTTATTTAGAGGTTATTGGTAATTAAAATATTTACTCGATTGCATCTGTCCTTTGTATTTGCAAATACAATAATTTTATTTTTCTGATCATTTAAAAGTTCATTTAACAATTCCTTCAGCTTATCGTCTTTGTCAAAATCATCTACCCAGAGCACTTGGTGTTTGAGATATGGAGGTATATTTCGAGTAATTTTCACTTTAATCTTTAAATAAAAAAGTAAAAAAAATATTGTCATTTCCTAAAACTACGAGTATTATTGGCAATAATTTACTAGCAGCAAAGTCACGATCGTTGAGAATTGTGAGGGTACATGTTATGACATGGATTTTAAATGTTTTAAAAATAATTTTTTCCATAAAGATTTAAAGACTAATCCAGATACCGAATTTTAAAATTTACAAAAATATTTACATAATTATCACGAAGAAATGAACTAGCCAATTGTTTAAATTTTTCTTCAAAAGTTGCAGTAAACATAGCTGAAAACAACTTTTAAATACAGTGTGTCCGGAAATGACAAAAAATGAAATACCTATTTTTGAAAAGGAACGTTTCTTATGTATTCCTTTTACTATATTTAATTACGAAAAATTTTTTTCGGTTTAACTAGAAGGTTGAAGATTATGGGGAAATCTGGATTAGATAGTCAGAATCCAAACAATACGACCGGATCAACTCGTTTTAAATTAAATTTGGGTTTTGAACCATTAAACTTTATTACTTAAAGACCTAGCAATCAAAATATCCCTACCAGTTGTTCTTTGTATTTTATCCGGTAATTTTCCTTCAATTTTCTTTATTTGAGGAATAAATCCATTATCTTTAATTTTTTAATTAATAATGTTTTTATCATTAAATCACCAAGCATTTGATCAATCTCATCAATGACAAGGAAATTACATTTTGTCATACTAATATCTTTATTTACCATCATTTCAAGTAATCGCAAAGGTGCCGCGATAAGAATATGGCAACCATCCTGAAAGGAATTGAGAGTATTTTATCAGAGTTTTTCTGGTTTTTCAGAATTTCTGGTCTTTCAAAATATTCTGGATTTTCAGAATGTTCTGATTTATCAAAATATTCTGAATTTTCTGATTTTTCAGAATTTTCTGGTTTTTCAGAATATTCTGATTTTTCCAGAATTTTCTGGTTTTTCAGAATATTCTGATTTTTCCAGAATTTTCTGGTTTTTCAGAATATTCTGATTTTTCCAGAATTTTCTGGTTTTTCAGAATATTCTGAATTTTCTGAAATATTTTACTTTAAGAGCTTCAAATTGTGCATCATAATTTGCTTTTCCTCCATGTACATAGGCTGGCACAATAGGTGTACGGTATGTTAATTTTAACACTTCTTTGTATAATTGAATTGTTAGTTCAATTGTGGGTGAGAGAATTAGAGCACTTGGAGTATAATGAAGTTTATTATGTTCTCCTGTTTCTACCTATAGAAATTTTTGAACTAATAAAATACAATATGAAGTGATGCTCCGTGGAATTCAAAAAATTCCCGAAGCCCAAAAAATGTTAAGAGCGCGAGAATGTTCTAAAAGGGATATCACTTTATATTTACGTACATAATTTAAGCCTCCATTTTCTTTTCCAACTTTCAAAAGATGATTTATCAAAGGAATAAGAAATGCTGCTGTCCTGTTTTGAGAAAAAAGCCTTATTTCTTCGAATAGATTTTAATAAAAATCGTCCTTGAAAATTGATAGAACTCTGGGACATTCAATTAGAGACAATACGGTATATTAACATTATATCATTGGAGACTCATTAACAGTGCTTCGAAATTTCAAATTTGCTCGTACTCGTACTCGTACTTCGTACCACCTCTTTTTTTGGCCTCGTACTCGTACTCGTACCTCGTACCACCCCCATTTTTTTGCTCGTACTCGTACTCGTACCTCGTACCACCCTTATTTTAGGCCTCGTACCTCGTATTCGTACCTCGTACTTACTCGTACTTGAGAAAAAAGCAAAAAATCGAAAATTTTTATGATTTTTTGGAGTCCAGGACATAAATTCTTAAATTTTAAGCGTTGTATGTGATAATATTTGAATCTTGGAAGGTCTTGAAATTATAAATCTTCCAATTTCATCTATTTGCTGCGCCGCAGGCGAAATTTTTGAGCATTTTAGAGTGCAAGAAGTAATATTTCCTCCAAGATGGGTCGTGCTACCCGAGATCCTACATTTTTTCATCCGATTTTCATCTTCTTACATGGAACTTTTTATCTTTTCCACTGAACTTTTCACATTTTAATCTTCTTATACATATCTCTCTTAATCTCAAATCCTTTTTTCAAAAATTTTGAGAATTTTGGATGTCCTTAAGTCAGATTTCTTCTATTTTTGCGCCGCAGGCGAAAATTTTGAAAAATTTTAAGGCCATGAAGCCAGATTTCTTTCATTTTTCACCGCCGAAGGCGAAAATTTTAGAATTTGGAAGCCAATAAGCCACCTTTCTTATTTTTTCAGCGCCGCAGGCGAAAATTTTGAAAATTTCCTAAGGCCGTAGGCGAAAAAAATTCACTTTTAGTGTGCTAAGAAAAAAATATTAAGAATTTTAGATGGTCAAAATCTAATAATTAATCCAAGTAAAAATACAATAATTTAAAAAAAAAATTAAAATTATAAATAAGTTATTTATGAAGAGAAAAATATTAAAAACATTGACCAGTGAATAGGAAACGAACCCAATATTAAATCATTATAGACTTTGTTTCAGCAAAGCACCTTCACCACTCGGCCACTCGCTCTTACAATGAAAAATGAAAGGAATTAAATATATTTCTTTCAATTTTCCTATTAACACCAAGTACGAGAAGTACGAGCTCGTACTTAGGCCTCGTACTCGTACTTTTCACTTTTTTTTGGCCTCGTACTCGTACTCGTACTTCGTACCTGCCCAATTTTTTTGCTCGTACTCGTACTCGTACTTCGTACCAGGTACGAGTACGAGTACGAGGTACGAGTACGAATTTTGGTACGAGCTTCGAAGCACTGCTCATTAACTACAACGTGACAATGCTAAGCCAAAGATAGAAAAAACCCTAATAATTTTGACCCTATATTTATTAGATAAATTGGTGGTAGGCTTAATAATTTAAAAAATTTTTTAAACATAGCCAACTTTCCTGATCCTGTCTCAGCAACGCCTATTAAATCAAAACTTTTGTCTCCTCTTATTAAAGCTGGTAAAACATATTTCTAAATTTGAATAACATTTTTATAAAATTATTCAAAATACTTGAATGGGTGTTGGCCGTTTAAAATTGCACAAATCCATGTTTTCTTTTAGCCATTGGTCTAACTTCAATTTTGGATCAGAGAACTGTGAAAATTAGTGGTATATACATTTTTATAATCCCAAAAACGTTTGTTTTAGTAATGTTTGCAAACAGATTCAGACGAACACTGAACCCAAACTCCGACCTTTCCCAAACCTAAAAACATCAACTCCGAAATATCAAGGAACTCTGCTTTATTGACCTTCTGAAAATCTAAAACAAGACGGCTAAGGTATTGAGTCATGACACAAGACGTTGCTCAAGTTGTTAATTCCTCGTTTGGTCTATAGTCCTTATCTCTTTATGTCTTGGACTGTAAAAATAAATCTGGAAGCCCTAAAACTTGATCTGTGTACCCAGCTTCCTCCTGAGCTGAAATAAACTTTTCAACTTCGCAATAACATAAAAGTCAAGTAAACTTTTCATGGTCAAAAATAATGGGATCTATTAAAATTTATTTTTAAACACACATTCTCAATTGGCTTTATCTCTTTATCAATTTCAACATCAATTAAATTGGCATCATCAAAATAAATAGCATCAACCTCTTTTTCATTAAATTCAAATAATTGTTTTTCATTTTTGCTTTTCTTTCCCCGTTCCGTCCAAGTTCCAACACTTTCCAAATATTTTTTTCTTTCATTGTCTTGGGGATTCTAAATTTTATATGAAAATAAATATTATGAAAATTCCGAAAAAATGTTTATTTGACTCATGCCATTTTAGACGTCCATTAAGCCTTGTTTAATGGCTGAATCAAAAAATCCCTGGATCCTTGGCTCGGTTCAGTTCCAATGCCTTAACCTGTTACTGCCCCGAAGTTAAATCTGAGAATCTCTTGCAGAAACTAGTAATCCCATACTCTTAAGAGATTCCGATTACTTGCCCAAATTATCAAATCTTATTAAGTTATGTAGCATTCGTATAATTTAAGGTTTTTCATTAAATTGGAGATTGAATAACCATCACAGAAAAGAACTCCAACTAGATGATGGGTTATTGTTATTTATTCAGTCATAACTAGGGTTGAGGCCCGGTCCGGTCCGAAAGATCAAGTCAGGCATCGAATTTTGGACGAAAAAGACTGGTCGGCCCGGTCCGATAAAAATGAGGCCAAAAAAATAACTCGAACGTCGACTCGACTCAGAAACCCCAGCCCTAGTCATAACTCTCTTCTAAGAACTCTAATTAAAAAATTTACCCAATAACTTTTAAATCTACACAAAGGATTTAAAGCAATATTTAAAGCAATTAATCTATCAAATTCGTTAACACAAATTTTCCCTTTATTTTCACACCTTTCCTTTGATTTTTTCATTTCAATTTTGTTATATTTTTCTTTAAATTCCAGGCAGTCCTGTCTTGTATAAGACACAAGATTGTTTAACTTTGAATAAATTTTTTCATCTAATTTGTAAATTTCAGAATTTAAATAATTCTCAATATTTTCTATAATTAAAAAATGTTTTTTAAAATAATTCAGATAAGATTTTATTTAGGGATCTTAGGCTTCGTGAGATATTTGAGGAAGAGACATTCAAGGATTAATTAGGAATAAAGCTGGGATAAAAAAGATAAAAAGTTAGAGTTAATTTTATAAGAACACGCTAATAATTATTCATAAAACATATATAGGTAGTTTAACAAAATTATGGCAATAAAATCAAGTTGTGGGCAACTTATTAAGGGATTTATTAAGAAATATATTAGTGGCCATGACTTTCTAAAAATTTAACAGCTTCTGATGTTCATTGAGTTAAAATGAACCTATTTTTAGGCTTAATTATTTTCATTAAAAAAGCCATTTTAAACTTATTTCATAATAGAATATGCTCATAAACTATCAAATGTCGGCCCGAAAATGTAGTTTACGGCCTAGGCTTTAAAAACAACAAAATGTCTAACTCGGAGAATAAGACAGGATATTTTAACATTTTTAATTTGATAAATATTTATCTTTATACCAACCTTCACTACTGTCCAAATTTTCACTGATTTTTAAAGTTTCTCTTTCCTTTGTTACATCAGAGTGCAAATCTTCCTGTCTAATAATTCCCTCCTTATAAATATTTCTGGCCTTAAAAAGTTCCTCAAATAAAAGAATAATAAATTTCTCTTCAAAACTATCTTCCGAATCTTTGTTTATTTTAATGAAATGCTCAACTTTCTGATTTTCATC